GCGGGAGGGGACGAACAAGTATGCCATTGACCCACGGGTCACTTGCGTCAGGTGGGCTGCTGCATGGCTGGCGGCATGCTGTTGCGTTTTTGCCTTGTGATTGGCACTAGGCTCCTTCCCCATCCTCCCGAGCGGGGCAGTGGGCTTTAGGGTTTTCATGCAGTACATGATTCCGCGCCTCCCTCCCCTCAACCCCCCTTTTACTCCCCTCAACCCCCCTCTTTACTCCCCTCAACCCCCCTCTTTACTCCCCTCAACCCCCCTCTTTACTCCCTTCACTCCCCTCCCCTAACCCCGCACCCCTTCTACAGGCAGTAACACATTACCTAGGGTCCACTAAGCAGCCCGTGCCGGGGCACTCGGAGGGGGTGCCGCCCCACATGCGGGGCACTGTGGCTGGGAACGACCAATACATCAGGGAGCTTCCCACGGTACGGCGACGGTACGGCAACCTTAATGCCGTACTTGGCGTGACTAGTTTTTTGTGCTTGCGGACGCACATGTAATGTGATTGAATGTTGTTGGCTAGCGTGCGAGTATCGGGTTTCATACCCACGGTTGGTTGGTTGGGGGTTTGCTCGTCACCGGTCAAAAAAGGTGCGTCCTCCTCGTCCGTACACTGCTGCATTCTTGGCTTGCATCTCCGGTTCCGGTTCCGAATTTCTCTCCTCCACGTGGCATTGTAAGTCCTGTAAGACCAGCTGGTTGCATGCCATCACGCTACACCACCAACCCCGCGCGAAGGGGTGTGTGTGGGGCTTGCACGCCTGCAGTACAGGTACGAGCTCTCAATCCGCACACACACACACACGACCGAACGAAAGAGAAGTTTCCAGAACACTCCTCCGCACAGCCGCGTCGTTGTAAAGCGTGGCGCGAGGCACAAGCTCGTCACCGTCGTCGCGTCTGTGCGCCCCCTCCATTTCTCCCCCCACCCCACCCCCCCACCCCGCCGCGAGGACTTCTCCTTCGCAAGCGCCGACCGGTTAGTTATGTCTTCCTTACTTTTGGCACATCAGTCTGTCCTCCGTGGCATCAGCTTCACTCGTTCACGTGGTTTGTCTTCCCCCCTCCCTACTCCACCCCACCCCACCGTTCCACTCCTGCGGGCAGTTTCTCAAGGACCACACGAGCCGCATGGAGGCTCTGGAGCGCATGCGCGGCCGCATGGGGCGCGAGGGACTGCACGCGCACCGGGCCATCGCGTGTCCTATGGAGCTGCACGCGCGCGGCGACATCCGGGGTGCGGAGTACGTGGAGCCGGTGCGGCGGGGGGCGGCGGACATGCCGCTGGGCGCTGCGACGGAGGCGCCGGCGGGGCCCTCAGCGGCGGCCGCGGCGGCGGCGGCGTCTGGTGGCCGCAGAGGTGGCGAGGGTATGATGCTGTCAGGCGACTTGCCGGGCACCGGCGAGGTGCTGCCGCTGTCGACTTCGGCGGCGGCGGCGGCGGCGCCACGCATCCCACCGCTGGCGACGGAGAAGTTGGCGGTTGTGAACCGCCAGGTTTTGCCCGTGGCCTCTGGTCCGATTGGCGTGGACACGTGAGGCGCAGCGGCAGCAGCAATGAAGGGATGACGGGTTAAATGTTACGGTCCCTCGCGGGTTGGAGGTTGGAATCCGGGGTGTGGCTTGTAGGCCTTTAGGTCAATAAGTATGCGCCCAGGCCGGAAGCAGGAAAGGGATTGAAGGTGGGGGAGCTTGCAGTCGGGGCGTTGTACCCTCCCTGCCGATATAGACAGCGGCACTACTTTTGATGGAGCGCGGGAGTATACAGGAATTTTCCCCTGTCGGGGCGGTGTTTTATGGGGCATTGGCGCGGCAGGTAATCGGCTGTTGTGTCCGATGATTGTATTGCAGCGCGTGAGAGGATGAGCTGATTGCTTTTGGGTGGCCTTTTGCCTTTGTGCGTTGGGAGTTGTTTTTTGGGGATTGATCGTTGTCGTTGGAATTTAGTTGGGTTGCGGGTTGTGCGGATTGTGGCACGACGGCTTTTTTTTAGTGAGGGCGCTTTAAGGCCCCCTTTCCGTGGCTGACCTTCATGCTGCGATTGTTGAGAGGTTTTCGAGGCACCGACTGTCCTTCCTGCGCATGTAGGTAGCTCCTGCTCGCTACTTTTCCAGAAGCGCACCGTTTGTTCCGCTGCAGAGCAAGGTTTGCAGAATGGTAATGATGTGCAGCGGCTCCACAAAGGTAGCGTTGATATGGAAAGGTTGGTACGGAAGGGTTAGGCTAATTCATACGCCAGGGGTTCTCACAAGTAATAATGTTAGGCTGTTAAAGTTTGGGAGCTATGGCGATACTTAATTGTTGACCCATGGACCTGCTGCATCGGCGGCTTGCTGAGAGATAAACGAAACTGCAGGAGGCCGACTTTTAAGTGCTCTTTTTTTTAACTGCATGCGAGCTGGCCATCGTCCAGTTATCAGACTGGCGGTGGGCGTGAGGCTGGTCCCCGCAGTTTTTTTAGCAACTACATCTGTTTGACCAACCGAGGGTATCCCCGTTGGTATGCCATTTCAATACTTTCCTACCACGGCTTGCTGCCGGCAAGCATGTCTTCTGTTTCACAAATGGGCGTTTATTCGGTGTGTCCTGTGTTTTATCATTTGCGAAGGTTCGTAGGCGGGGCCTGCTACGTCAAACGGAGCAAAGTCTGCAGTGCTACCTGTGTCTATGTAGCTTTTTATACCACGCGATGTGTGTCACCTGTGTCCACCGTTCTTTGTTTACAACGCGATGTAGCGTACGAGGATTTGAGCTGAGCTTTTGAACATGGTGTGAGTTATACTCTTTGTCTTTTGTGCAACTGGTGCAAGATGTATTTTTAAAAAAGGAAAGCTCTTTTGCGTGTAGACATCTGTGGCAATTCTACGACCGCAACACTGTCGGACGACGAACCAACCTTCTCCAGATTCTACGTAAACTTCATAGTTGTAACAGACATATGAAATGCGTCCACAAGCGCAGCCGCTCATGGGGTCCATTGTCTCGGGCAACAACAGCCCATGGCCAAAAGTACAATCCATCCAGGTGCGTTGGAGCCTCAAGATGCCTCCTGTAAACATTAACGCGCACCCAAATCACTACTGTTTTATGCCGTAACGTTGCACAGCGTCAGCGGCGAAGCGCGGTTGCACGGTCGGGGCGTGGACCATTGCCCAGCAGCTCAGACGACCCCCTTAAGAACCTGGATCTCAAAAACCTCAACGATCTGCCCCTTGCCAAACTTTCCGAAACTGCAAACGCGGTCTGGGAGCGCATCAGGTGAGGCAAGGTGGGCTCCCCCCGGTCAGGGACCACCTTTGGCCTCCTCTCGGCCTTGTCATGCCCTGCTGTGCCCTGCTGCCCTGGCCGCCTCCCCTTTCCACCCCTCCCCCAAGTCTCATCTCCCCCGTGACTTCCCAGGTAAACACCCAGATAAGCTCCCTCTACAGCTCTTACGTACGTTTCCGTCTGAATCTGCGTTTCCCCTCTCTTCCTTAACCCCTGGATGCGGCGTGGGCAGGGCAAGCGGCTTGAACGTCAAGGTGATGCCCGTGTCCCTGAACTCGCGGCTGCTGCCTCCGAACCTGGTGCCCGGCGGCTTGCAGGCGCCCGCAGCGCCCCCCTCCAACGGGGTGTCACGAGGGCCGCCCGGGGACGTGCCCAGTGTGGCAGTCGCTGAGCGGTTCCCCTCTGGGGCTGGCAAGGAGCAGCGGCTGATGGCCGCACTAGCGGAGGCTCAGGAGGAAAAGTGAGTGCGATAAGATAATATATATACGCGCAAGGGCCCCTTAAAACGCACCCTCCCTCCCTCCCGTCCCCTGGTCTGCCCTCCCAACCATCTCTCTGGCCCCGCCCCAACTTACAGTCAAGTGAACCTCCTCGCCAGTTCTTCATCATCAATTGCCGTACAACCGCTTATCCCTCGGTCCTACATCATTAGTGAACGCGATGAAGTTCCCGTAGCACCCGCACGTCTTTGCCCCTCCGCCTTCCCTCCCGCCCTGCCTGCTGCCCTCCCTTCGGCGGTCCTCCAAATCTCCCCGGGACTCCCTCGCCCCCGGGTCCTCGGGTCCTCAGGCGCCAGCTGGCCGACCGCACTGAGGTGCTGCGCGCCAACCTGTCCGTGTTGGAGGACAAGAACGCCAAGATGGCGCGGGAGCTGGCGAGCGCGGAGGCTGGCAGGGACGACGCCCTCCGGCTGCGGGACCAGCTGCTGGCGGAGCGGGACCACCTGGCCACCCAGCTCAGGGAGGCGCACGAGGAGCTCAAGGTAGGCCCTTCCGTTGGGCGCATTTGCGGCGGGGAGGGTATTTTGACTGGCAGATGGACAGCCGCACGGATGTGCATACTGACACGAAGGCGCGAGTGAGGGTATGAACTTCACTCCCCTGGCCCCCCTCCCCTGCCCTGCCCTCCCAGCGCGCCTCGGAGGGCATGGAGGTCCGCGAGGGGGCTCTGGAGGCCCTCCGCCAGTCCCAGAAGCAGCTGCAGGAGGAGCTGCAGGACGCTGTGGCTCGACTGCAAGCCGTGGACCGGAGCACCGGTGGGTGGTGGGGGAGGGAGGGGTTGGACTCGGGGGGTGGGGAGGGAGGGCAGGCGTTGGGCCCGCATGAGGGCCGCAGGGGTGTCTGTGTATGTATGTATGTATGTTGTTACAGGGTGGTATAGCTTCACCAGCGGCCCCCTTTCCCGAGGCAGTTCCCTGCTCTCCCCTGCGAGAGGGGCACCCTAATCCATTCACCCCATCCGACTTCAGAATGTATTCGTTGGGTTCAGCAACTCACCACCAGCATCCAACCAAATTTAGCGGATCAACGGCGCCTCAACTTAGTTCCTGGTCAGCTCGCAAGTTGATATAGTCACGTCCAACACCGTCCACTAGATGGGGCCCCACCTCCCAATTCAACACTACTCAAACCCCCGAGGAGTCGGCAGGTGGATTTGAACCCGGAAACTCCGAGAGCAGAAGTAAGGCCTTAACCTCTGCCAGCCGCCTGTATGTATGTTGTTACAGGGTGGTTAACTTCGCCAGCGGCCCCCTTTCCCGGGGCAGTCCCTGCTCTCCCCTGCTAGAGGGCCACCCTAATCCTGTATGTATACATATATGCATGTATGTATGTTGTTGTTGTTGTTGTTGTTACATGGTCGTGGGTGCGTTCCCCGTACCTGCAAACCACCCTAGTACGAGCCGAGGGCTCAAGGGCTGCCAAATCGCCTATAAGCACCATCCTACCTCGCACTTCCAACGAAACAAGTAATGAAGTATACTAACGACCAAAGGGAACGATAGAGTTGCGGTGAGACCATATACGTTCCAGCATTCTTGCCAGGCGTCCAGGTTCCCACTTCATAGCGTCCTTCATATGTTCGAAGCGTGGAAAGCCCATATCAGATCTGATTCCGTCGTAAACCGGACAGTCCAGCAAAATGTGTTTCTCATCCTCGATGTGGCTATCAGTGCCGCAGCAGGGGCATACTCGCTCCTCCCTAGGTATATAACGCCGTCCCTTACGCGCTCTGTTAGCCGCCAGTGCCCAACACCAAAGCCTAAACTGCATAAGCTTGCAATTCGCCGAACGTGGGATAAACATTGTGATGTGCGGGAGCACCTCCTTCCTGCCCGCTTGCTCGGCCGCCAGCCCCATCCAATGCTTATACTTCGCCATGTGAATTCCTGGTTGTTTGCCGTCTGACGGATACACGTCAGGCTGGACATCTAAACGTGTATGCTTCCAACCACTCACTAATCGGTCCTTGAACTCCGAAATCACACCTTCTGGCATTGGCTTGTTCATCAGCCACTCCACTCGTTCGTCTACCTCGTGTAGCCCTTGCGGGGCCTCTTTCCATACATCGTGCCCCAAAAAACATAGAAAACGGAGGAGTAGTGTCCCCCATCCGGGCCCTTCGGGGTTGGAGAGGGATTCTGCGACCTCCTGTCGCAAAACTTGGTATGCCACAGACCCACGCTGTAAACGGACATGGTTCCAAAACCTCACAACCTGCTTGAGAACGTGGTAGTGTAGGGGTAGCTGCGATAGCTCTGCGAACAAGAGGCGGTGTGTATGTATGTATGTTGTGTGTGTGTCCTCCCCCGCTTCACCTTCCTGTCCCTTCCTGTCCCGCCTCTCACCCCTCCGCACGTTAGAGGAGCTTCGCACGCAGCTGACCTCCCTGGAGAGCTCCCGGGCGGCCGCGGCCAGCGAGCGCGATGATCTGGCCTGTCACCTGCAGGAGCTGGTGGAGCAGCTGAACGACCTGTTCAGTGCGGAGCAGGTATAGGGGGAATGGACGGGTGGGGGGTTGGGGGCAGGAGGGAGGAGGGAGGGAGGGGGATGAAGGGGGTTGGCAGGGTGGGGCAATACAGAGACTAGGGTAGGCCCCCGCTGCAACCCCGCGCCAGCATGTTCTTGTGGGGTTTCAAATGGACTTCCCGGGACTGAACTGAATGCAACTGAAGGATATCCTCGACTGACCACAACTTCCTGAACATCCATTCCGCCGCACTGGCCTAGCTGCCAATCCGCAGTCCTTAACCTTAACTTGACCATTGTCAAGTCTGTTTCACTATGAAGTTTAAAAACTGGACTTCTAAAGGCAGGTGATGTGATCTGGGGGGGAATCCGCAGGGCAATCTCTTGGGTGCTACTTTGCCGGTGAAGGCGGTGGACGCAGCTGCCGCCACAACAGCCGCCCCCGGCGGTGGCGACATCCCCGCGGCTGCGCCTTCCGCAGCCTCCGCCGCTGCACATCTGGATCAGCTCCGAGCCACTACTGAGGGCGCCTTTGCAGCGCTGCGGGTGGCTCGCACGGAGCTCGGGTTGCTGAGGTCTGAGAACCAGCACCTGGCGCAGCGAGCAGAGGTGGAGACACGGGGGAGGGGAAGGAGGAGGGGAGAGAGGAGGGGAAGGACGAGGGGGAGAGAGGAGGGGAAGGAGGAGGGGGAGAGAGGAGGGGAAGGAGGAGGGGAAGGAGGAGTGGAAGGAGGAGGGGGAGAGAGGAGGGGAAGGAGGAGTGGAAGGAGGAGGGGGGGAGGGGCCTACAAGAATATGCTCCGATGGGGTAATGGGGGTTCAGAAGAACCACTTTAGGATGTGACGCGCTCTGTTTCCCGTATCATCTTCGGACTTCAAGTTCAAGATGCGCCAAGAAATTTTACGGCATGTTTGGACTTCATTAATATTGCCTCTTGACCTTGTTTTTTTCCTCGCTGTCCTTTCTGTCTCCCTGAGTTCTCTTTTCCTTCATGCCTTCATTGCTTTTCCCTGGTCCTTCCGCTCGTACCGCATACTGCCGTACATGCACCTGCAGGCTCTGACCAGCTGTAACACGGAGTTGGCGGCGGCTGCGGATATCCTGAAGCAACAGGTGGCGGAGGCGCGTACGGAACTGGACGAGCAGCGACGTGAGGCGGCAGAGCTGCGCAGCCGCGAGGCAGCGCTGCAGGCCGAGCTGGCGACGGCGGTTTCGGAGCGGCGAGCTGCGGAGGCGGCAGTGGCGGCGCAGGTGGCTCAGCGGGAGGAGCTGGCGGCGGCGGTGGTGCAGCTGACGGCCTTCCGGGACGCGGCGGCGGCGGCGGGTCTGGGTCACGTCGAGCTGGCCCAGATGGTGACGCAGGTAAACCGTACTTACATACATCGTCCCCCCGCGCGATACACCGCGCTCGTACATTTTGCCGTACATGTCGGCATCTCGAGCAGCGCATCTAAGATCTTCCCCGGGCTCCTCCCCCCCCCGCACGACCTCCCTGGTATCACGGACAGATCACGACCCTTAAGGAGCAGCTTTCCGTGTCTCGTGCCTCCGAAACCGAACTAAAACGCCGCCTGGCCGCGGCCGAGGTGGCTTTGTTGGACAGCCGCCGTGCCGCCGCCGCCACCGAGGCGGGGTTGGTTTCGGAGCTAGAGGCCTCACGCCGTGACGCCGCGGAGCTGCGTGCCGTGCTGCACTCGCGAACGCTGGCGACCCAGGCCGCTCGGCGGGCGGGTATGCCGCTTGCCCCCGCGGAAGGGCACCTGGTCAACACCAACCGCTTCTGGGTGCCGGCGGACGTTATGTACGACTTTGTCAAGGCGGTGGCGGCGCGAGAGGCGGTACTCGTGGAGGCCCGGGGCTTCTTGGCGATCTCGGTACGGGCTGCGCGGGGTACTCTGGGGGGTCGTTGTGGGGGGGTGCAGGGCTGCTGAACGACCGTTGAAGTGCCACTGGTCCGCCCAGCGCGTCCCTTTGGAGGAACATTGGGTTGCCTTTGCTAACTTTAAATTTGAACTAGCTTTTAATATTTATGAGCTGGTCTGCTGTAAATTGTATAACCACTAGAAATATATAAGAAGATATCATAGAGGGCCTCTTCCCACCCGCGTTCTAGACGTCCTGGATGCCTCTTCCCGGGCTCCGCACAGCTCCCAACGACCAGCCAGCGCATTGCTGGCCACAACCGAAAACCAACATGGGGGGGTTGAGGCCCCGCAAACCCAGCGGCGCGACAAGACAGCTCAAGCGACGCACAGACAGACGGACGGACGGATGAACGGACCAAATCGTCGCCGCACACTTCTGAACGCCGGGCCCCCTCGGCGTTTTGGCCCCAATGGTCCAATCATGGTCCAATCATTCAACGCCCACATGAAGCAAGAGGGCCGCACGATGAGAAGCTAGCACCACATTGTGAAGCCCAGCAGCAGCAGCGGCAGCACCAGCAGCAGCAGCAGCACCCCTCCCCTTCACTCACTCAAGACCGCTCTTCCCCCCTTTCCCCTTCCTGCATTGGTATCATGGACGCCCTACCCAAACCCTCGTGCGAGAATGCTGCCTCTTAGAGCTCTAGACCTCATATCCCCGTGTCTCTTCCTCTCTCTCCTCCTGGCCCTGCTCCTGCCCCCCAGGTTCTCTCCGAGGAGCACAACGTGATGGTGGTATCCACGCAGTGGGACTCCCCAACCTCCTTCGAGAGCTGGTCTCGGAGCGCCGCAGCTCGCCGCCACCACTACCCCGCGGGGGTCTACCAGTTCGCGCCCCGCCGCGGGGAGGGCGTCCCAGAGGACTACCTGCCATTCAAGGACCTTGGGGTGACCACCGGGGGAGGCAGCTCGCACTGAGGAGATGGCGAAAGCTATGTGGAGCTAGGTCTGGGGTGGGCGCGGGGCTGGGCCTGGGCTGGGTGTGAGCTGGGGTGGGTTCGGGGCTGGGCCTGGGCTGGCTGGGTGAAGGCCAGTGGTTGCTGCAGTGTCAGACGAGGACGTCCGGGGGTTCCATTGGAACGAAGACTGTGCTGACTGGCTGTGTAACTTACGATGTGCTAGGGGTGTGAGAGGTGTGGGGACAGTGGTGGTGGCTGGGCTGTGTGGCGGCTAAGGATATGAACTGATGTCGTCGGTGCAGCAATGCACTCCCTACTGGGGCGTCTGGGTGAGCGAGTTGTTTTGGATGTGGTTGGCGGGTTGCGGTTCGGGTGAGGAGGTGCTGAGGAACTCGGACTGCGATGTCTGTGGTGGGTAGGAGGAAGAGGAGGAGGAGGAGAAAACGGCCGGCGCTATATGAGTGTCCTATTTATTTGTAACGTGGCTGTCAGTCTGTCGGAAGGCCGCTTGGTGGCTGGTTAAGCGCTTTTCATAGCCGTGGCTGCTGATCATCCTTTAGGCAGCAGGCAACCAGACACATGCATCCCTGCCCAGTCAAAGCTCCTGAAAGTGCAGCAAATCCTTGAGGGCACAATCCATAACGGGTATCCATGGATAGCTGGCATCAAAAGGATGCTATTCATGCTTTTAGCATGAACTGACTCTAATGTTTGATCAGCAGGAGTAAAAAGAGAAAACTCGGATTTTGTGCATGTGCACCTACACATCTCTAGGCAACAGGCAACCAGACAGAGCCGGGGCAGACAGGCACTGTGGCTTGTGACCAGCCCCACGGTTCAGGGTTTCCAGGCGGTTTGCTGACGTGTGGCGTGCGGAGTGGCTGTCTGGCTGAAAACCACCTGCCATTTTGGTGAAGGACCGACAACCCCCCTCTGCAAGGGGCCTTATTCAGGGGCACTGGCCGGTCTGGACTGGTCATGTCTGTCCTGCTTCGGGGTCGAGGGTTGTGATCGGGTAGAGGGGCTGTCGGCCTGGGGGGAACAAAACTGGGTATGAGGAGTTTCGAGTTCGGATATTGTGTCGGCGTTCGGATATCGGGTAAGGCGCCTGGCCCTGGTGGGAATGTGGCGCACACCCAGGCCGGGGCCGGCTGGTGACCGAGCCGGTAAGGCCGGGCTTGTGAAGGATGATGACTGATGCCCAGCACCAGTAGCGGCGCCCCGCACCGGCAGCGGCGCCCCCTGCCTAGAAACATCTATGATGGCCAGCCCGGGCGCAAGAGTCAACGTGCCCACACGCCACGATGGCCCACACATGACTGGAGAATCCCGATCCCCGCCCGATAACAAACCAGTTAGTTTGGCTATGATTGCATAAGCTTAAGAATCAAGAAGTGACGTCCCGCGCCAGCAGGGTACGGCGCACACGGCTGTAGGGTACGACGCCCCGCGCTAGCAGCGTCTTCTTTCCATTTCAGTCTTAAGCTGCATGACCTTTGCAACCATTTTTAGGAAACAGTTGCTGACTGTCGTTTGTGGGCTGCATGGAGCTCTTCAACTCCCACGGTAATGTCCTTGCGGACAGGCAGGGCATGTGGCCTGCCCCTGGAACATTGTGTAATAATGCACAGTCAGTGACGTTTTGCTACTTTGCTACTGAAGTTTCGCTATGAGATCTCTCCCATCTGTCTGTCTGTCTGCCTGTCTGTCGCCTGCTAGATGCGAAAGTAAACCGGTCAGTGCTTTGAGAGCTCCCCCCGACGAGATGGACCAGACGGGATGATTACCTAACGGTCACTGACGTGGCAGTGAAGAAGTTCAGTTCAGGCATAACGACAGAGGTGCGGCGGCGAGGGTACAGAAGGCGACATGTTACCACCTCAGCTGAAGGTGTTGACTGGTTCAGTTGGGGCATAAGGAGGGATTGGCGGAGCTTCATGAACCGCAGAGCCGTGTGCGATCGTCTGCACGTGCCGAGAAATTGGAACTTGGAATCAATCGCGAGAGGAAGGAGCCGGAGACAGGCAGGAGCGCGATAGGACAGACAGCCGTGCCGGCAAGACAATTGCATCGCTAAGCATGCCAAAGATTCGTGTGTGGATTACAGGCTAGCTGACTAGACAATTTAGTCATGTAGAACAAAGGCATCAATGTCAGGCACTTGCACCTTATCAATGTCAGATGTCCAACATGAGCTCACCGCGTGCTGCATAGGACTTAAAACTGGTTCAACATGGACCCAAATGTTAGTAAGGATGCTTCAAAAAGGATAGAAAATGCTTTTGCCAGCAGGAGGTTTTCGGGTTTTGCCTCTGGTACCATTGCTTTCTGCCAATTAGGAAAATGTCATGAGATGCCACATAGTTTGGAGGCATCCGCGATTTGCGAAGCATGTGAAGACATCTGCTTTTGTCGGTGGAACGTGTCTGCAGATACCGTAATGATACGAGTTTTTTCTGATACGTGTTTTGGGGAAGGCCCAAAATTAACGCTGAAATTATTTTGATGATATGCAATTTTGGGGACGGTCACGAGAAAAATCTACAGTTGTGATACACTTTTGGTGACGGCTCCAGGGCGTCCCGCGGGCGTGCTCACGCTTCGCGCGCTTACGCTTCAGCGTCTACTACCGCCAAGCTGCTATCAAAGTCCGAACAGCGCGGAAAGGCTGCGCATTAAGTCTTAGAAACGACAAATAGATAACGTCAACCCATGCGAATAGCAGCCCCAGAACAAAGGAACAAAGCTTTGCAATCCTCTCATCGGCATGTGCCTTCTCGCGCTCAGTCCTTGCAGCCTCAACCTCCGGCGCCACTCGAACGCTGGCAATGCCTGCCCTGAGCTCAATGGGAGCATTGGTGTCGAGCTTGGTAATCGCTGCAGTGTGGGACTGGGAGTACTGCAACTTTGCTCTGTGCATTAGCTGGCAGCTATGGTTTTGTATTATTTGCTTAGAGGTACTATAAGGGATTTGTGTTGGTTACCGAGTAGGTATGGTTTAGCTTTGATCAGTACGACTCTGTATCGTGCAAGGTTTTGCCAGACTTTTATGTTGTTTCAATTTAATTAAGGCATCCCTACACCATTATTTGTAAGCTTAATATTCTTCTCTTCCTTGTCTCGAAAAAAAGCCAGCGTCTGATGTCGGCCGGGCAAGTTAGGAACTAATGCTTCCTCCTGAAGCCAGTTCCTTCACAGGTACACGAGCTAGGGGGCAGGCCAACGGCAGGTAATTACACTCCGTAATATCATGTAATCAGTTTCGTTAATAATTCACAATCCGAGGCTGAGCAGCTTCAAGAATGTTTGCAAGTCCATTATCCGATAAATCATCAGTCAGATCCCATCCCACAATGGTGGGTGCAAGTAATGGATAGGCGGCACAGCCAGCGTTAGCCTGCCTTTGCCGTCATTGGAAAGTCTAGGATTCTACCTTAATGCGCACGCCACGTGATACGCAACGCCCAAACGCCCAAGCCCAAGCTGCTATGTCGAAAGCAAATAGCCCCAAAATCGGTACCCTCTCGTCGCCCATCACCATACACACCCGCACGCTCACCATGCGACATGAAATATCTCCTTGCGTGCGAGCACCGCCTAAGCACCAGCCGCAGCAAAATCGTCACCAGTAGCAGCAGCGGTGGCCGTACGCGGAGCAAGACACGGCAAATCGCAGTTCATGTTGCGCGAAGAAACCTTATCTACAACCATATGAGCGTCCGATGGCATATGGTGGTGGTGGTGATACAGGTGGGCCTTGTGCGCGTTTGTTTATTGCCCATTGCGATTAATCGGCAGAGAACGTGCACGGATAGCATGTGCATGATGAGAACAACCCCCCCCGCACGTGACATGGGAAACGCCTCAACACCCCAAGGTCAAAGTTACCTCGAGGGCCCCCCTTCTGGCATTCACTACAAAGCTTTCCTTGCCAGAGCACAAGTCGGCTGTAGCAAACCAACCGGAAAATCCGGATTGCTTTCGAAATCCCACGAGCCTTCAGGTCTACCATAACGGCCACAGTGGTTGTATTACTTATCACTGGGTCAGAGCACTGAACAATTTAAAGGAAGAGGATAATTATGCCCCCGTATCGTTACCTAGATACCGACCAGCCCAACTTCTCCTTCGCGACCAGGACGAGGAGTCCTTTGCAAACGAGGGCTTTCCCCCACCCCTCATGTGCGGCCTGCGGTCCACCCTCCCTATCTCCCTGATGGCTCGCTGCATATGCGTTCGCTCATGGCCTAGCTAGCCACTAGTCATCTGTAACTGTCCGCGAGAGGGTCCGCCTCCGGAGGCCGCGCGGTCCTAATCACACAGCATGCATCGCACGACATGCGACCTGTATCAAGCTAAGTCCTGCAATGCATTCGCGGATCCGTCGCCATGTGCAGTCCTTTATAATATCCCGTATGATGCGTACTAAAAGAATCCAAAGCGACTCGGGCGACGTCGAAACACGTTTTCAAAAACAGTCGAAGCACTGCAGTCTACGGCCTGCAGGGAGCTCCAAGGCGGACGCAAGCACTGGAGCTTCACTCCTCATCTCTCTGTGCCCTCCACACACATACATACATACACACACACGCACCGCCACATATCCTAGCTAGCTTGAGCCCATTAGGTCGCATTAAAGCTCCCCCGTACCCATCTAACGCAGTTTCGCACCGCAGTGCTTCGCGCTTCGAGTCACATCTAATCCTTCCTTTTCGGACCCCTCCCCAAGGCCCCCGACAGCCCCCAGCCGGCGGTGGGCCCCATCTCCCGCGCCGCCCTCCGGTACTCAGGGCCGCAGACCATTGGCATACGAGTGGTCTCTCCGCCCCGGCTTGTGGTAGTAGGTCTTAGTGGGGTCCTCTTCGCTGCGGCCAGCAGCGGCGGCGCCCAGCGACGAGCAAGCTACCCGGTAGTAGTCCGGGGCTGGCGTCGGAGGCTCCTGGTGTATGTGGTGCCTGCAAACACAACGCAAAGCACGCACACGTACATACATACGTTATGGCAGGCGGCTGGCAGCGGTTAAGGCCTGATTTCTGCTCTCGGAGTTTCCGGGTTCAGATCCGCCTGCCGACTCCTCGGGTGTTTGAGAAGTGCGGAAATGGAGGTGGCCCCCCATCTAGTGGACGGTGTAGGACGTGATATTATCAACTTGCGAGCTGACCAGGAACTAAGTTGAGGCGCCGTTGATCCGCTAGATTTGGTTGGATGCTGGTGGTGAGTTGCTGAACTCAACGAATACATTCTGAAGTCGGATGGGGTGAACGGATTAGGGTGCCCCTCTAGCAGGGGAGAGCAGGTAACTGCCTCGGGAAGGAGGCCACTGGTGAAGCTTAACCACCCTGTAACGACATACATACGTACGTACGTACATACATACAGGTGCCTCCGGAGGTCCCGACATCGCTCCTGTCCCATATAAAGATTCACCGTGGTTACACAAACTTGAAACTGAGCTGCATTCACCCCGCGGCTAAGTCCATGAGGGCACACACAAAGCTCAGCACAGACGCACCGGCATGCAAAACACACACACACACACCCTAAGGTATTCAAAACCCATCAGAACTCACTTGACGCCGAACGAAACGCCGTTGTATTTCTCGCACGCGTCACAGCAATGACCTCCGCAGCAGGGCTTGTATGCGGGTCCCGGGCCGTCCGTGTACCAGCCGGGGAAGTGCTTCCCCTTAAAGGTGGCACCTGGGAGGGCGCTGTTGGGTTTGGGCCGGCGGCGGCCCTCCTCGGGCTCGGGGCGCGGGCGGGCGGGCGCCGACGGCGGCCGCCGTGGCGGCGGGCCCCACACAGCGTGGCGCATCCTTGGAAAGCTGAATGTGTCAGTGTTGGGGCTGTAAGTCCCCACGCCGGGAGAGGCCCCGTCACCTGAGCACGGGGTGGTGCACAGCAGAAGTCGGGGGAGCTGTTTCGGGTCTGCGGAAAGTGGGTGTGGTACTGGAGTACTGGGCCTCTATGTATGTGCGTATATATGTGTGTGTACGTGTGTGCGCCTCGAGTACGTGTGATATGGGGCTGGGATCGAGATCACATTGCCCCGATACGCCCTTCACACGGACAACACGGTGTTTTGTTAACACCTCTCCCCCCACGCCACCCCACGCCACCCCACCCCACCGCACCTTTCCCTGTTCTTTGCCCAAAGCTGTACGCTGGCCCCTTGGGGTTTTGGCTCAGGTAGTCCGGCTGCAAGGAGGGGGAAATGCGGAGGAGGGGGAGAGGATGGGGCTAAAGGGGTTTTAGCAGCACCTGGCGGCCTGGCGCCCTTGGAAGAGCGGGTGCGCGAAAAAAGAGAGGTTGGCTTTCTTAAGGGGCCGCCTGGCGGTGGCACAGCCTTTGACAACCCGGCAGGTCGGTGGGGAACGGGGAAGCCGGTTGGCCTCCACCCTTCGGTCCTGCACACGCCCTCGCTTACATAGCTCGCCTTCATGCTCCCGCAAAACACCCGACGAAGACGCATGAACGGAAACTGAGGTAGTAGTGAGGGTTATAAACCTCCCCTCCCTCCGTAGATAGGTGGCGACGCACCTTAAGGTACCGGTCACCGCTGTAAGGTAGTGAGGAGGTCTGCCAGGGCCGTTCCGGGTTGATACCTCCCGAGCGTCCGTACACAGCAGTTCCCGCGTTCCAGCTGTCCATAGCGCCCGGGTACTTGCCCGTTCCTGGCCCAGCGGGGAGCTCTGCAGCATGGCAGCCGGGGCACATCCTTAATGGATTGGAACTGACCCGGCTTCATGTGTATGAAATATGGGTGAAATGATACGAGGATTATTATATTACTGAACGCCCATTGTGAGTCACATCCTTGGAATGCTCGTGGTGCATCCCCTTGGAACGACTCGAGGTCAGATGGCACCCCGAGCAGACACAGTAATTAGGCGCGATGATGTAAAAGCATGAAATTATAAACATCAGGAAAAGGGGATATCTAAGGGCTTGCCTGGTCCGCGATGCCTGTTTCCGAACGTCCATGCTGGTTCAGTAGGAAGCACCACCGCAGAACCACATTGAATATACCGTGTCATGGTAACTAGATGCTTCGGGCTAGCAAAGGAGCAGTCGTTTAGGAGGGTTCCTGTCCTTGCACGTCGCGCTATGACACAACAACACAGATTGTCATGCAATCATTCGCTACTCTGTCACTGCGTTTATAGTGTCGATAACATGGGGCTGTATGATATGCGCCTTTAGCCGACGGGACATCGACTTAAAATAAACCATTCGTACGGCAGCAGGACATATATGCCCACCGATTACTCATCCTCTGAGTATCCCAATGCAAATGTACACTTGTAAAAGAATAGCCTAATCCGTCTGATAAACGACACCCTTGTGCCTCGTGAAACTTAGCCGACAGTAAACCTTACAGGGCAAACATCCAAGAGGCTCTTGCGTTCCTTCGATCCTTTGCTCGTGCTTCACGGTGATAGCTGACTCGGGTAACAACTCTTGATTCTGTACCGCGCTGGAAGGCGGTAAACCGACAAGTCGGCGTGCTCACCAGCAAGCTAGGTACAAGGGGCCCCAAGGGACAACCCTGTCCAGATGCTGGCCTGCAGTCAGCCAGGAAAACCCAGTAACATATAAAAGGACAAAAAGCAAAGCCCCAGTCGGGACCATGCACGAAAGACATGGCAGGCACTGGGACGCAGCTATGGCAACTGAAGTCCGTCACGACAAAGGCGAATGGGGCAGAGCCTCTCGGTCAACTCTCGGTCTGGATTCGCGGTTTCGGCAGTTGTGGGTACCCTCAGCGAGCACCCAGGTACAAACCCCCAGGTCCAGACACGAAAGCAGGACGGGGAACCGTTGCACAAACCCCCCAAAACCAGAGCCTCGTGCAAACCTCTCAAAAGCAGAAGTCTGTATTAGCCGTTCATCAAATTGGGGTCTACTTCGGCATAATTGCCTTAGCGCGCGACTCATGGTGGATTGCCATACACTGTTATGTCAGTTCCTGGGCTGGATATTTGTCATGATATTCGGGGTCTACATGTTGATGGTGCCCCGGGATAGATCATATTGACCCACGCGGGTCAATGCAGTAGTGGGACTGTTGGCCAGATGATGCATGTGGCTTAAGGGCAAAAGAACCAGAAGATCAATGGTGGTGAAGTCACGGGTGTACAGCGATGGAGAGGCAAGTTTACAAGACCAGCTGAGCAACCTTCCCGTAGGTAGTAAGTCGTAGTACCACTGCTGTACACCAAGTCCTGGCTCTCCTGGAAAGAACCGTATTCGAATTTCCAGATCCCCAGCGCGCGGGGATTGGACGCCACGTCAGCAAGCTCTAGCAACTACTTATAATCTATCTACATCGTCGCAAGAGAGCAACATTCTGCAACCGTAGCGATAATCTCCAATAACAAGGAACTAATTGACATGAGGCGTGCAACACGATGCAGCTCGGCGTGGGACGGCCACAAAAAATTTAACGCAGGAAAGAATTAGGTGTTGGCATAACTTGCCCGACATGTTACGATCGCTGTACATGGTGCACTCGGGCAGGAAGACAATAAAAGCTCTTTCTTATTCAGACACACACCACCCCGCTACTAAACTTCAAAACACAGACAACTCCCCGGAAACCCTACAAACTCCTGCAAAGCTCTAAAACCAGCCCTCTGCCCTTAAATAAGAATTTTGTTATCGGTTCGAAGGACAGCCCCTTAACCCCCCGTGTGTGTGGGGGGGGGGGAAAGGGATAACTACGCGCAATTGTATGGTCACACCTGCAGCTCACGAAAGGTATGGACACTACCAAATGAATACCAGCTAACGCCGTGAAGCATCTCGCTCTAGAAAGGAGCAGCTGGGCAACCTGCATGTGACGTTTTGGACAGCAACAATAAGCACAAGTCAGCGGAGACTTTTGCACCTTCCGGCCACAACCGTGGCTTTGGACAGTTCGCTGGTTCGATCAACAACAACACTCACAAGGCGGACCGCATCATCGGACAAACAGGACGGACCGGGAGACCACACATTGTGTCTAGCTCCCATGCGCAGCCCTCCCATGAAACCAGGACGTTTCCAATAATGTATTTCGTTTTTCAACACGCGCGCGTATTGCTCTTCGATGTCACAGTGGGACAGTACAGGCCCTCAAGCCATCCATACACTTTTCAGCATCCACCAAACCAGGTCGTGGACAACATTCCCACAAACCATTCCCACGCGATCTCTCCGACTTCTCCACAGTCACGCGAGTTAATACACTCATACACAACAGCGCGGGATGGCCGCGTCTTTCCCAACCTTTCCCTCTCTTTCTCTCTCTCTTTCTCTCTCTCTCTCACACACACACACACATACGTGCATACACACGCGGACATACATACACACACACGATACACCTCAAGACAGTGCGCATTACTCCTACCCACGTTCCTACCCTTTCCCTCCGCCTGTCAGCTTCTAGCCATACATACATACACATACATGCATGCATGCATACATACAGGCAATACACGTTGACAAAAAGAATCCCTCCCCACCTATCCTCTCCACTGGTTATTTCTTCTCCTCCCGGGTCATCAAGACCACATCAGCCGTGCTTCACACAGCTCAGAGGCCACACAACACCACTCAAGACACCAACCCCCCTACCTACTCCACCCCGACCCGGCCACACCCCTGGCGCCTTCACACCACCAGGTGTACCTGCGCCTCAATCACTCACTCGGACACCGCATCCCGATGTGCTGGCAACACGGTCACGCCGAGGACGAAAGCCGTATGATTCCGCCTCCTGGAAGAACGACACGACGTGCCCTGTGCGCCTCCATCACGGGCCGTTAGGCTCACACACACATCACTGCTCCGGCACGAGAGTCATGTCCAGCGGGCGCCCGCGCCCTCCCCGGCCCAGCGCCATGCCGCTTGCCGCAGCCGCCCGCCGCTCCTCTGGCGTCAGGTGAGTCACCGCGCCACTGGAGGCAGCATCGAACCCACCAAACGAAGGACCCAATTATAAGCGGAGGATGGGGAGGAACGGGAGAAGGTAGCAGGAGGAATGGGAGGGGGCGGAAGAGAGGGCAGAGAAGGAGTGAAGGGGACGGGAGAGCGGTTGTGGCTCCAGGGTCAGTCCAGAGAAGTCAAGGTATGCGAAGTGTGACAACGACTAGACGCAGTTAACTAGTGGGGCGGGGGAGGCGGGGGAAAGGAAAGGCCACGACGGCGCCACAGGATAGGGGGTGGTGATGGTGCAGGAGTAAACATGAGGGCGGGGCAACACATGCGGGCAAGCGCCTGAAACGAAAAAATCAGGCGGCCGAAACAAGGGCCGACAACGCGCAGGAGTCACCGGGCCCACAACCTTCTCCCTACCCGGAAGATTTGCCCCCTTACCGGTACATCCCGTCCATGAGCGCCCGGATGGTGCCCAAGTTCCCAACCGTGCTAGAGAAAGAGTCCCGACTGCCTTGCCGCTGCAGCCCTCCGTCACGCATCAACGACATGTCCAGCAAGTCCGTGGAAGGGCCGCCCTGCAGGCTCTGTCGAAGCCGCGGCGGCGCAGTAGCCGCGGCCGCATTCCCTGCAGTCGCAGCTGGCATCCCCAGCATGCTATCACTGGGAGACGGCGTCGCGCCGCTGCTGGTAAACGGCACGACGTCATCCTGTGCGTTACTGAGCTGACTGTGGCGGCTGCTCGCTTCACGAGAAGGGCCCGCAGCTGCAACGGCCCGTCCCGATGCGGCTGCGGTGGGGGCCACCGCTGCCGACGGTGGCGGAGCAGGCTGAGCCGGCCGGAAGGGCTTCATCAGCCGGGCTAGGGGGCCAGGGGTGGGATGGGGATGTGCGGCTGTGGCGGCGATGTGGGGTCCCCCAGGTGCCGGCGGCACGGGACTGTGCTGCGCCGCCGACACCACACCATCACCTCGGGCCTCCGCACCCTCCGGCGGCCGCAGGTGCGACAACTTGCGAGGAACCGGAACCGGAACCGGAACGGCGCCGGCAGCTACCGCCTCATGTGTAAAACTGCTGCTGCCTTCAACTGACAAACCAACCGCAGCTGCCGCCGCCGACGGCTGTGCTTGCGGAGCTGCTGGACCTGACCGTGGCGGCGGCGCCAGGCCGAGAGCCGCCACACTACCGCCTCCGGCTCCGTCCCCAGCGGCGGTATCGCTGCGAATGATAGTCTCAGGACTGGACGAGACGGCGATGGGGCCCGCGGCCGCCGCCGGTGCAGGAGCGGCAGAATCCCTGCGTGTATGCGCACGGCAGGTTGGCACCCGTCACCTCCGCACTGAAGAGGGGACTTTCCACAGGCCAGCCTTAGGCAATCCGCTGGACGCAACGCCGATCCGGTTACTTAACATGGCTAGTTTCAGAGGCAAACGCCGCTTTCGTGATGCCAACACGGAGATATGAGGCTACTACGAAGACTTTTGCTTGCGGCTCTGATTGCTATTATTGCGGGGGAAAGTTGCCGAGCGCGAGGCGATGACGTCGAGCTCGCATGGGCATGGCTTCTTTGCTCGGTTTGCTTTACAAACGCGAAAGCAAAGGCGCCCTAATTCAAATGATACTGGCCTGATAACCACTCCTCCAGAGCCTCACCCCACCCGCCCCGCCACCTCACCTGCCCCTTACGGGCCCCGGCTCCGTAAGGTCTATGACCTTCAAAGATGTGGCGTGCAACTGGGCGACATCTTTCACTCCACCGCCGCTGCCTCCACCTTGGGCACCGACGCCATTCCCGCTGCCAACGACGTGGAGTCCGCCACCACCGCCACCACTGCCGCCGCCGCCTTTCGGCGGGCTTAAGGTGCCTGCGCTGGGACTCAACGCCCCATTTACTCCCCCGCTGCTGAGGCTGAGCAGGTAGGCCAGATGACCGTTAGGGCTCAAGGTTCCGTTTGCGCTGAGGAGCAGAGCGGCGTCGCCGCCACCGCCACCGGGCTGCTGGCCTTGATGGGCTGTGCGGTCAAACGATTGGCCAGCGCTGCTGACGGGTCCCACTCCGCCGCTCTTCCGCCAGTGCTGGTTAATGCGGTCTATTAACGAGTGCCGCGGCGGCGCCGCCGCGGCGGCCTCTCTGCAGTCCGCACAGTAGGTTGGGCGCGAAGGGCGGTTTGCAAAACGGGGAGCAGCGGGGAGCTCACGGTCGGGGCAATAGCAGCAACCCAGGTCAGGGACGTAAGGACGTGTCGCGAAGACAAAGGAACACCATGGGACGCGGAAACCTCCTCCATTCGCTGAAACCCGCCAGTTCCCCCGCTTTCCTCCTCGTTGGAACGCACCTGGCCTTGAGCTGCAGGTGAAGCGCCTTGGCAATGAGGGCGGTCTGGCGCGTGAAGACACCCGCCTTGAGGGCGCGACGCAGCACCTCCTGCGGGGGGGGTTCAATGCAGCGTACCGAAACGCAAGCGGTCAGCCGGCCTAGGAGTAGTGAGTTTTGGCAGGCATAAGCATGCGGTTGCCGGTTGTTGCCCCCACAAGGTTCAACGGCCTAGCTGCAGGTCAGAAGGCGGCTTCGGCGGCTGTCATCAATATAGGCCGAACAGCTCAACATCAGCTTGTGGGAAAGACCGAAACCTGCTCAGGTTGGAGGTGGGAAATAGGAGAGGCGGACGCCACAGCGGCATGCCTTGTCCTTCTTTTACTTCTTTTCCAGCGACTTCTTTTCCGCGCCGCCTGCGCTGTCGCGAACTCCGGTACATCGGGCACGACACCTAGTGACCTAGGGCGCCATTCCCAGCTCACAAACAGCCAAACTGCAGGTACACCACCACAGGTTCCTCCCTGCCTCATCGCAGACCACCCACCAGCCCACCCGGCGACTGCCCCGCACAACTCACCTCCTGGCGACCCAGCCAGGAACCCGCGCACACGCCGGCCTCCTTCCCACCCTGGCAAACTATACCCCCCCCCCAACACACACACCCCTGCTGCCACCACGCCGCTGCTGCCCTCTGGGGCCCCCCATTGACTCCACACCTACCTTGGGGCAATGCGAGCCCACCGGAGTGATGAGCGCGTACAGCGGCAGCACGTAGAGGCACGAGTGTACCAGGATGAGCACATCGGCCAGCAGCAGCAGCCCCACCGCCCAGGTAGGCGTGCCCTTGAACACCCACTTCTGTTGATACCCCTGCAAGGAGGAGGAGGAGAAAATAGCGGTGGCGGGAGGGAGGAGCCAGGCGCGATAAAGAAAGAAGGAATGCAAAGCCAAGGGAAAGCAGATGAGCCCCAGAAGGAAATAAGGATTTGCAATCGGGCCGGGCACGGCGCTTTGAAACCTGCGCCCGCGGAGCAGCTTGAAGAGGTTGAACCGGTGATGGCGGAACCGGTACCCTAAAACCCTTCCCTAACCTGGGGGCTCCGACCCACGACCCAGTGACCCGTGGGTCAATCCTGTCCCTCACCAGGATGAGCGAGAAAATCAGCATGGCGATGGACAGGCTGTTCTCGTAGTATACCCAGTTGAATAGGTAGGCGATGACCTTGGGATTATGGAACCAGAAGAACGCTGATGCGTCCATGGTCTGACAGCGGCGGGAAAGGGATAGGGTATGGGCGAAAAAGGGATAGGACAGGATGGGCGAACGGGAGGACTGCGGCCCTGCCATATCCACCCCCACCCACCTCAACCGCATGTAGATCAGACAAGGAGGCAAGTCCACAGCGACATCTATGTATAACCTTGTGGAGCTCGCAATATAAAAACATGTTACAGCCAACCTCCCAGCCAGCCGCCATGTCCCTGACCCGGGCTGTAACCCGCTCACCTCGAAGCCCTTGTGGGCCGCCAGCATATTCCGCACCCGCTCTAGCCAGTGGTCGCTGACCTTGCGTTGCAGCTGCTTGCTCTGCTGCCTGTTGACATGCAGCTTCCCCGCCACGTCACCAGCCGCGCTCGCGAGCGCTACCTTGGCCTTATCCATGCCTGCTGCCAGGTTGTTCTTCAGGTCGCGCACCGGCGCCGGCAGCGGCATCACCTGCCGGCGGTGCCACGGCTTGGGCACGCATGGTGGCCACAGAGTGTGACAGCAGCCAATGCCGTCGTCGCTTTCGCTGTCGCTGCCATGGCCTGAATGGTTATGGCTGTGGTGGTGATGATGGTGGTGGTTGTGGTGGTGGTTATGGCTGTGGGCTCCGAGAAGTGCCAGGAGGTTGAGGCGGCCGCTGTGCGCCTGCCAGATGGAGCTGGCAGCAGCCCTGCCGCCGTGATGCTGACCTGCGTGGCGCTGATCGTGGTGCTCTTTCGCCAGGTCACGCCATATGTGCCCCGCCGCGATGCCGGCGGCAGTGGTTCGGAGGCTCTCATCGCCGAATGGCGACACGAATGTGGTGGTGGAGGCGGCGGTGGTGGTGGTGGTGGTGGTATCGCAAGCGCCGCCGGCAGCGGCAGCGGCGGTGGACGGATTCGTCGACGGCTGCACCGGCATCAGCACATCTTCGCGCCCAACCGTTCCTACGCCCTCGCACACGGGACCGACCCGCAGGTCACCCACGCTTTGAGCGCTATACAGACCAGCCTCCGGAACGCCGTTGTGATCGCTGGGGAGCGTGTACCCGGACCCGGAGGCACAAGCTCCTCGGCGACCGCTGTGGCTGATGCCGCCACGCAGCGACGGCGGCACCACCACAGCCCAGCGCTCGGCACCTGCCGCCGTGCCGCCAATGCACAGCTGCGGCGGCGGTGGGGGCGCTGGCGGCGGCACTGGTGGCGCTGGGGGTGGCGGCGGCATTGCCTCCGTATCGTCCTGCCTGGAAAGGCCTCTCTCTGGCCATGTATTCCCACGAGGACTGGCGCTGCGGCTGCCACGGCCGCCAGCAGCGTCAACTTCCGCAGCCGCAGCCACAGCCGCCGACTCTGGTCGACTAACGCTCCCGCTGCCGGAGCATCGCTCCACGCTCACACTAGGCGGCCGAGACGGCTCAAACTCGCTACCGCCGCCGCCGCCGCCGCCGCCGCCATCCGCGCCCCACGGCGCCAGGGACAGCAGCGACACCGCGCTACCAGATCCCCGCACCCCCTGTGAGCCCAGGGAGCTTGCGGCGCGAGAGGAAATCCTTGGCGGCGTCGGAGGCTCGCCTTGCTGGTTCATGCCAAGGCCAATGCGCGGTGCCGTACGGTCGAGGTCGACGGCGCTGCGGCCAGCGCCGGCCAGGCCAAATCCCCTAAAAGTAGACTCGAGGTCCGAGCCAAGCTCACCCGCCGGCCCATCTCCCTGTTGTGTTGCTGAATCATTCTGTCCTTCATTTCCAGGGCTGCTAAGGGATTCACTTCGGGAGTAGCCCCCGCCCTCGTGCTCACTGGTGGTACGGTTGTCGTTACCGTTATCATCCGTGCCTGTCCTCCCGGGGGCCAGCAGTGGTGGCTGCGCCGACGGCGATCCGATGGTCTGCACCTCATCCAACTTTGCCGTACTGTCGACCTCCTCTGCAGCGGCACATCTTGAGCTTCGTCGGGAATCACGCAGGTCCTGCAACTCCGTTGCCGCCGCCGCCGCCGCCACCACCTCATCTGCGTTTGCGTCCGAAAACGCTGCGTCTGCCACCTCTCTCGCTTGCGCCTCTGCTTCCGCCTCCTCATCCTCGGGCACGGTCTCCAGGAAATGCAGGATCATGGGCATCCCCATTCCGGTTGGGCTGGGCGGCAGCTCCGCCCCTCCGCGCGCTGACGTCTCCGTGGCTGCTGCCGTCGCGAGCCGCAGAGCTGCGCCACCAAGAGTGAGCTCCTCGTAACCGTCAGTGATCCCGTCGCTGGCGGCCGCTGCCAGTCCATAGCCGCTGGCCTGGGGCCCGTTCGAGGCCACATCATCACCGCCATTGTCCCCGTCGCCATCAGTGCACTCCGTCTCTGACTCGGGTGCAGCGGCCGACAGCTCACCGCTGCCTTCCACTGCGGCTGCAGTGCGGATTGCGCCGCCGTCGCCGCCGCCGGGTAAACAGGGCCGTTCAGCGGCGTCTGCCGCGAGAGGCGGAATGGAAACGGCCTCTCCCGAGGTTGCCGGCGGTGGTGGTGGTTGGGACCAGGAAGTCTGGTCCAGCCGGGGGGACGTGTTCATTGAGAAAACAGAGGAAAATCCGCGTTGCCGCGCCCCAGCAGCGGGCTCGTCGCCGGCGGCGCTGCCGCCGCCACCACCGCGCGGCAGCGGCGCCTCCAGGGAGGTGGTCTCACGTAGCTCAGGAGAGTTTGGAAGCAGCAACAGCGATGCGCCGTGCTGCTGCTCCTGCTGCGTCGGCGGCCTCTCGTCCAACTCGTCATCGTTCACATATCTGCCGTCGATGGGCTCCGCTGCTGCTCCCGCCACGGTGGCGGCGGCACCAGTCGAGTCCATGGAGTCCATCGCGCTTGTCCCCATGGCCAGGGTGACAGCCTCTTCAACGGTGACCCATGGGCCATCATCTCCCATGCGTAAGACACGTAGGCCACTGCGTGGGCGCGATACCTCCAGAGAGGAGCTCAGATCTGGCGGACCCAGGGGTGACGGCAGCGGGTCCACGGACACCCCGGCAGGTGCAGGTGACGTTGGGCTTTCCGCCAGCTGCGTGCTCGTGTCCGTGCTTGTTGGTCCACGGGGAGATGGAACGGCCGTCTGCTGCTCTTCGCCAGCATCGCCGGCTCGGACGCCGTCAGTTATCGAGCCTGTAGGCGCCGGCGGTGGGGAGGGGGCGGCAGCGGCGGCGCCACCGCCGCTGCTGCCGTTATCGGTCACTAGTACAAAGCCAGGCAGCATCGAAGCCACCGTGCCCGGCGATAGCGGGGGAGGCGGGGGCAGCATCGTCGACAAGGAGTCGTACACGGATGCCAGGTCAACCGTGGCGCTAGTTGCGTGGGCAGCGCTGACGCCGCCCACACCCTGTTGCATCTTCTCTTGGAACAGTGCAAACGCAGACGCGCCGGCGCCACGAGTACGCGGCGCGGCTGCTACAAACGCGCCGGCACCCGGGGGCCCCGCCGCAGATGGCTCCGGCTCCGACACCTTAGCTGCCGCATCCTCAGCTGCCACTGTCGCCGCTGTAACCGGGAGCTCCTGAGACGGCTTCGCCGCAGCAGAACCGGAAATCTCCGGGGCCACCGCCGTCAACGAAAGCATCAGCTCTGGCCCCAGCGGCGCCGGCGCTCCTGTAACTTGCGGCCCCAAGACTCCCGACTGTACATTCACTTCTTCGCCGCCGCCCGCAGCCTCTGACGTAGACGTCACGATGGCGCCGGCCTGCAGCTCGGCCGCAGCGGCGGAGGGGCGTTGCGCCTTCTTAGCCTTCTTCCTAGGCCCGAAAAGACCGATAGGAAGCCCCGCGGTGCTGAGTTTGGGAAATCTGGGGCTGTTCAGGGGACCCCCCGCAGAGGCTCGTGGTCCGAAATTCGGCGCCGGCAGGAGGTCCAAGCCCACTTGTAGGCCGAGAGCTGAGTCGTCCTGGACACCGCCGGGCCGCAGAACCACTGCCTTACTCTTCGGTGCGCAGACACCACTATTCGTATAAGTCGCGTCGTTCGCGTTGGCGGCATGGGGCCGTACCAAGGTCTTTGAGAAGTCTTCTTCGCCGATACGGCTCGTGCATATGAGCTGCCGAGCTGACATGCAGCGCCGGATCGGCCGCGCCGGGGGCAACTGTCGTAGGAGGGCTGCCGCCGCAGCGGCGGCGGTGGCAGCCGCGGCCGCCGGATTCAACGTGTACGCAGCCGCGGCGTCGCTGCTGATGCCACCCGCCGCCTCCGTATGCCGACGTCGTGAAGTAGGCAGCAGGCCGTCTGTTCCGGTCTGCTGCATTGCCACGCGACTAACTTGCCGCGGCACTAGTCGGGGGCTGAGGAAACCTCCGTCGGTGTTGTCAGTTAACCGGTGCATATCCGTCAGGCGCCGTGAGTCGTCCGTTAGGCGGCCGATACGGCTCCGCCGAAGGGACGTCAGGAAGCCTGCCACGCCGGCTGTGGCGGCTGACGGCGTCACAGGCCGAACGCCACCACCACCGCCAACGCCTGTGGCGGCGACAGGAACGCCAACGCTGCCGGCGCCAGGGGTAGCCAGGGAACTAAGGATTTCGGGGTGTTCTGATGCGGACAGCTCCGCGGCCGTCGCTGCAATCGCCGCGGCTTCCTGCAAGCCGTCGGGAAATCGCGGGAGGCAGCAGTCGTGCAACTGAGTGAAATCCAGGACGCGGGAACCAGAGCCGTCATTTCAACAACTAGAACTTGGCCACCGTATCATCCGCCGTATTGCGCCATGGAAAGTGAGTTGTGAAAGGAATAGGGACTGGCGCATGCAGCTAGCGGGATTCCCATTTTAACAAGAGAGCGCGCCCCAGATAGGTTAGTAGTCGGTGGCTTCCGGAACGGAGCCAAACATTCCATTCTAGCATACGCAGTACTTCTCCGCTCAGAGAAGTTCCTGAGCTACAGATTCTATATTTGGAGTTAGTTATACAAAACATGACACCGCGGACGCGGTGTCCAGATACGTAACCCCGCCCACCTGCATTTGTTCCAACGCTGTGGCCACACGTGACGTGGCCACGCCGCAAAGCATAAGGCCCGCGCTGGGTCGGGACGTGTTGCGGCGCGTGGTGGTGTTGGCCCACGTGGCGGCCGCCACGACCGCGTTCAAGCCCCGGCTACCTGGCAGCCCTGTCGCCAGAAGCGGCGATATCGTACCGCCCGGTGGCAGTGACAACAGAGAAGGCAGGGGCGGAGAACTCGGCCTGACGGCGGCAGCGGCGGCGGCAGTGCGCAGGAGGCTTGCCGTCGATGGCCGTACAGCAGAGGAAGGCCGTACTGTCGACGTCAACTGGGAGACGACAGGGTCGCTGCTGCCGTTAGTGGCGGCGGCGGTCGCCGAGCCGTCAGGGGCCGCGACCGTGATTGCGATGTCGCCGGAACCTTCTTGCGGCGGCACGACAGGCCCTGGGCTGGGGTAAGTTAGTTGGCTTGCAGGGCTGGTGGCGGTGAAAGGGCTCACGGTACTGTGTGTGCCGGCAGGGCCGGAGGGACCGCCAACGTTGAGGACCGGGCTTATCGGCCGAATGTCCGGTAAGGGAGCCGGGACCCTGACCGGCGGCGGCGCGTGCGGTTTCTTCTTCTTCTTCTGAATCGCTGGTGGCGCTGGCAACTTAGACAGCTGCGGCGGTGCTGCCGCCGCCGCCGCCGCCGCCGGACGGGGACCCCACCGCGGCGGCGCGATTCCTTGCAGCAAGCTGGGAGAAGGCATGAGCTTGGGCGTGCCGGCGGTGCTTACCGCGTCCGCTGCACCGTTGCCAGCAGGGCTCACGGTGCTCGCGGCCACGGCGGCGGCGTCTGCTTGCGACCGTAGCTCGGACGTCTTGGGTTGTAGCAGGAGAGGTGGTGGATGTGGCTCAGGCTGCAAGGCCAGATAGCCGTAAGGAAGTTGGGTTGGATTGGAGCTTGAAGAGGAAAAGGGCATCGCGCTTTGTCACCCCACACCCCGTGCAGAAAACGAAAGTAGGGCAGCCACCAGGCAGCCCACATGGATAGATGTCGTCGCGGAAAGATAAGACGCGGAGGTACCCTAACCCTTCCCCATCCCGCCAACGTAGCTCCGAAAATTGTACCTCAGCTATATTGCGTCACTTTCAGCAGTTCGGAACTATCCCCACCAGCACAGGCGGCAACGACCTACCAGCAACGGCCTCGCCGCCATCGTCCGCAGCAAGTTCACCGCCTCCTCCCGGCTCGTGAGAGCAGTAATCGCCGCCACCTGCGCCTGGACCTCCGCACCGGAGCCCGCGGGTAGCGCCTCGTCCAGCACATGAGCGCCGGTACCGCCTCCCGTGACTGCGACGCCGGCACCGCCCTCGCCGCCTGCGCCATGTCCGCCGTCGCCGCCGTCGGCGGAAAGGAGTATGCCGTCAGCGGCACCGTCAACGGCGTCGCCCAACGCGTCGGCCAGCTGGGAGAGGCTCATGCGGCGGCGGGCGGGTCCAGTGCGCACCAGAGCTCGGGGCTCCATCTCCATGCGACCGAACAGCACCGAGTCGCCGTACTTGATTGCCACCTTGGGGATGCAGTCAAGGCAGTTGGGCATGGTAATTTGGTACATCCATCCATCCATCCATCCATCTATCTGTCTATCTATCTATCTATCTATCTATCTATCTATCTATCTATCTATCTATCTATATAGATGCCTGGGAGGGCGACGGAGCTTCCTGGGCCTACGCTGCACGTGCTAGTTATATTATGACAATGGCCCGTTGTTTGGAAGGAGATACAGCGGTGCTAGTTGTGATTCCGGACCGTGACAATTGGCTCCTGCAATGCAATTTCCAGAGGGCCTTTGCAACTGGTCTTGGGTTTCCAGAGTGGAGTAGCCCTTGCACACCGACACTGCAATCACCGATGAAAATTACTTGAAGAAAGGTCATCATCACGCGACCCCTGCGGCCTACTGTCCAGTATGTACGGCCCAAATCCGCCCCCTCACGCCCCCTCCACCTTCCCAAGTCATTCCAAGGACAGCGGTCGACAACGTAGGCGACCCTGCCAAGTCCCCCCCTCCTTCCCTCCTTCCGTGCGACCTGCATTCCCAGCAGCGCAGTGATGGATACAAGCTTGGCTCCCACCACCAGCATAAGCAGCATCACCACGCAGTACGACCAAAATGGAACGTACGACGGATTTGGGAGTACGAGGAAAAACGTGGCAATCATCCACAATGGCCAGGACGCATGCACCTGTTGGATTTCCCAAAAGGAAAGGGGAGGAGGGGGGTGCTGCGTTGCGAGGATGATGGACCCTAAGCGGTGCCATGTCACAGGCAAGGAAGTTGGATGGCATAACTCTTGCCGTATCTGTAGGCAGCGTATCGACAACGCGAGTCGTTCCCGACGGACGGCGCGGCACAACAACCATAGACCGCTAACGGTGGCCCCGGGCCCCCTGCCGTGGCCAGACATGTTAGGACAGCAGCGCCTATTCCCACAGGCCACAGAGTGGGCATGAATCAGCCGGGTAACTGCGCCAGCTGGTCACTAGGGCTTAGGATTTTTCCGGCAAAAACCCGCGCCGCGGCCGCCGCAGCCCATTACATGGAGTATGCGCACCCACCGCATGCGCCAGCTGGTTTTCCATGCCTATAGGCCAGTAGCAGCGTAGGACGAGAGATGGAGTGGGGAGTGAACGGGACGGTCGAATAGTGGGAGGTCAAGCAGCGGTTAGTTGCGGCCATGAACTGCAACGTGCAAGGTAACGAAAAGGGCTAAGGGCCCTTCCAACCCCGCCTTCCTCCCACACTGCGCACCCGTATGTTGCGCAGCCGCCGCGCCAACAGCGATTGCCGCCCCGCTTCACCTCCACCCCGTACACAATTCACCCCGTACACAAAGGCGCGCCTGGACATGCGCCCAGAACCCATTGCGCAATACACCATCCCCCAGATGAAGGGTGCCTCCCTACCCAGCAGCACCGTCCCCAGTGCTTACACACGCGTCAAGACCCCCCTTCTTTCCGAGGCACGTCGTGATGTTGTGTGCCCCGAGTAGATTTTCGACTCCACACAAGTTGTGCAGTGACTCACGAGGGCAGGGAGGTGTGTGTGCCCTCAGTCCGGTGTGTCACAGCCGGGCCATCCGTTCGCCGACCGAAACCCAGATCCCAAACCCCGGCACTTTGTGTGTGAAACCCCACTCACCGTTCGTCACGAGGGCATGGAAATCGAAATCGTAGGTAAGCCCCATCTTCTCTGCGCAGCGCGGGCGCGACGGAGCGGAAAGTTAGGTCAGACCCAGCCAAAAAGAGCGTGGCGAGTGCAAGGCCGCCATACTGCAAAAGACAAGATATATTAATACTGGGTTTCGCAGCCGGGACCAAGGCGGAAGAGACAGCCGCGAAGAGGCTTCCCTTAACTGCCATCACGCCGGCGTGACGGGAAGATATAGAGACCCCCCCTTCCACTCTTTCGCCTATTTTCCATCACTGCCCCCCCGAAAGCATCTATTCAGCCGCCCGTTCCGAGCGCAAGGCCGCAAGCGCAGCCTTACCTATGAACAGCAGCCGTACGTTGTGGTACATGGGCTGCGACACGGAGACCCGGAACTGGGCGGCCACAGACGTGGCAAGCGCCTTAACGTGCGCCACAAGGTCCACAGCGGCGCTGCGAGCCGACATCGCCGCCAGTGCCGAGGTACACATGGAGCGAATGAGGGAGCTGCGGGGGGCACCCAGGCACACGAGCAAGTGCGCGGCGGCGGCCGGGTTGAGCTCGGGAGCCTCCGGGTCAGTCAGCTCATGGAGTTACGTTTCGTTCCCGTTGTGGAGTCACTCTTCCCACACGCACTTCCTTCAGGTACACGCACATGCACGCACATGCACACGCACGTTCTGGCTGCTCGGGGCCTGGGTATTCATCTCCAGTTTGGCAGCTGAGAGGGGGTCGTGGAACTGCAGACGAAGCACCAGCACCCTAAACCCAGTAGTAGTCTACGGACACGCGGGCCTCCGACCCGCAACTAGGCTCCCACAGCGGCCGGCCCCCTCCCCACCGTGACACGGTCTCCTGCATGACCTTGACGTCTCCGGAGCTGCTCTTGGCCTCCGCCAGCGCCTCATCCTCCCACTGGCGCCAAGTGGCCACCTGCACAGCGTGATGTGGCCAGAGGAATCAGGCGGAGGAGTTTGTACCCGGTTGCGGCCCGCGCAAGAGCCACCAGGGTAAGGGGCGGAGGACTGAGGCCGGGTTCTGGATACGCGGCAACCCAGTTCAAACCAGCCTGAGGTCAGCCAATGGAGATATTGGCAACGGTGCTGCAGCCTGTAGGAGCACGGAGTCGGACCGGCCAGCCAAGAAAACTGCCAGGCCGCACGAGTACAAGCACGGGCAGCTGCAACAGTGGTAGTGGTGGCACCCTCCTCGGATAGATGGCACCGTGTATCAAACGTTATCTGACTGAAAAGGGAAACCTGAACCCGTGTTTGTTAGTTACTGTGGGCAGAGCCCTGCTGCTGGGCCCTATGGAGCAGGGCTTTGGGACCGGACCGGGGATCCGTACTTGGACCTTCATCAGGATGCTCACGGATTTGAAGCGGCTCGAGTGCTGGAGAGGTACGGTAGCGACAGTCTGGGCTGGGCCTTTCAGCATTTCAGGTTTGCAACACCCGGCCCGTGATCCGCCGAGGAGAAACGTCGTGAGCACAGGAGCCCACTGAATGGCATGACGCGTAGCACAGCCGCGGCGGGCAAGCGCACCTTATGGAGCGTCAGCGCAATTGTCACAGCGCAGTAGAGGATGTGTGTTACGGCCACAGCGAAGATGAAGTAGTGGGTTTCGTGCTGAACGGATACAGGCCACAGCGGTTCCTTGCCCTCGGCACATTCATCTGACAGTCCGTATTTTTGTTTGTAGTAAATGTAGCTGGATCCGGCGGTATTAGGGATACATATTTGAGCGAGGTATTCCTGTGGACGGGGAGGATGGGGTTGAAGCAAGGCGCTTGGGGAAGAGAAAGGGAGCAATTCGAGAACCAGGGGAGAACAAGCAGGTTTGCAGTAGGCCTGCCTCCCGCAGTCGCCGTGTGGTCATATTTGCTCCTGGTGGTCTTCAGTGGAGGGCAATGGGTTATTGAGAGGCATGCCCGAGCCCTACAACTTGGCTACAGGCGCACTGCACAGTAAGCTGCAGGATAAGAACTGGCCCCAGCGAATACAACAGCTGAAAGCAAAGAATCCCCGGTACAGTTGAAATCAGATCTTCATCTAGATGAAACCCCTTGCCAACATGGATGGGCCCTGCTTAAAAGTTTAAGTTCCTAAGGTAACCCCGTCGAAACGGGAAATCGCGTCTTTTGTCGATTACCTGGGTAACGCTTAGCAACAAAGAAAGAAATCCAAGGTACAGCAGCTCATTCTTCAAAGCTCTGAAGGCTGTAAGAAGGCCCTTCCTTTTCTTAAGGCGCTTCTCAACATATTCAATCAAGCCTTCAAACGATAGCGTAACCACAATAAATCCAACAAGGAGAAGGGCCACACGCCAGCCTTCAATACCCGTTACGCCTGGCCCAGCAGCCATGCTGCCTGGGTGGGGCTAGCCTGGGCTAGCCTAGAGAATTGGAAGTTAAGATTCTATAATGGGGAAAGGCATTTCGGGCAGTTGCCTGAACAAAATGCCACGCCGGCCTCGAGTCAGTAGGTTCTGCACGGGCTTGCTCAAGGAGCGCTCTGTCAAGCGATGTCGTCCTCTAAGTTATCAATCCAGATTCTTAGATTTTGTAAAACATGCATCAGCTTACCCATGGACAAGCTAGGGCAAGCGATACCTTCACCTCGAAGTACGGTATCACGGCAACTTCGTTCGTTACTAATATCAGCTTTTGAGACACGTCCAATTCACAACAACACTTACCGCACGATTCAATAAGGGTTATACAAGCTGCATGAGTCCTGACTAGCGCGCAAATAAAACTTCTTAGGAGGGATGCTCCTGCGGGTAGAAAGCGCAGGAAGGTGCGGATCAAAGTCTTAGGAGAAAGGCTGGTAGATCGCAAGGCTTTAAGACACCAAACATGAAGTTCAGTTACTGGAGGGGCTCTAGCTACGCGCGTCGTCGGTTAAACCAAGCCTTGCGGCCAAGTCCGATTGCATTCCGTAATACCAATCCTTAGCATGACTCAATGGAAGCTCTGATTTCCATCGGGCGCCCGCTTCCCTGAGAAATGCGATTGTTACACTGGACCCCGAACGGGTCGCGTGAAGCGCCCCTAGGAACGCCTCCTGCACAACACTGTGGGCCTTATTCAAAAAGAACTCGGCCAGGCCAGGACGCTGTCGGCCTGGGCTTGGGCAGCAGCCTCATCTGCAGCTCCAATTAGCTGACGCATGCGTGCCTGTCGGTTTAAGCGGGCAGCTGATAGGGCCAGCGCCCGTTTAAAGCCTGGCCACCATTGAATGAGGTCGTCCGGGTCCGTGGAGGCTGATTCTGCCGTGTTATTTACCCACATATTTAAGTCTGCACATAGATCATCGTGGTCCAGGAAGTGAAGCCTAGGACGGGGCAGGCCAGGTACTGGTGTGTTCGTGCTATGGGCTGCCCAGATGGTAGTGTGGGTGATCTGGTGATCCGCTGGAGTCCCTGAGGCTGTATCGCTGCCATAGACTGCCATTTCCAGGGCTTGCGATACCATTATGCGGTCAATACGGGAGGCTCCCGCTGGATGGACGTATGTGTAAGCATGCCGGCGGGGGTGTATTAGGCGGAACATGTCAATCATCCCCGGGCATGTAACGTTAAACTCTGCCGTGGTGTTGACATCATTCCTCCATGCCGACGGAGTGGATGCATCGAGGTCAGGATTGTTGACAAAGTTAAAGTCAGCTGCCCAGATATGGAGTTCAGCATCCGCCATAAGCAGCCGGAGGTGTTGCTGAATAAAAGTCCTTTGGGCCGGGGGATCAGCACTAGGAAGGTATGCACTGATTAAAGTAAAGGTAAGGTCTCCCCAGCATACGGGTAAACGCAAAAGATGACCGTCTCCTGACATCGTAGGCTGGGCCTGTGCCCCCGGGAAGGTTAAAGCCCCGCTGGTGAGTAGTGTGCTGCATATAAGGATTGCTGTTCCACCTCCACACCGACTGTCCAATGCAGGGTCCCACCAGGATACCCACTGGCCCAGGTGGAGCGCCTGAGACAGGTTGTGGAGTATCGTTCGTGCCTGAGACACACGGTTAGCCGTTACCCTTGTTTCTTGGAGGCAGACGATATCCAGCCGTTGCCTAGCCCATTGACGGATGAGTTTGGCTGTGCATTCGGATGCGTTGTTGTATCCTGATCCCAGGAGGCTGCGAACGTTGTGGGAACCAATGCGCAGGAGTTGCATGGCCCGCCTGTTCGAGTGGCGATTCCTGGGCATTACATGAGGTCCAGGTCCATGTGAGGGCCAGTACCCGAAGGGGAGTAAAGGGATTGTAAAGCCTCCGGCCAGGTGTTGGCGAGTGGGAAGCCATCCAGCTGGAGGTCTACAAGAGGTGATCAAGTTTCGTAGGCATTTTCCATAGGTGCGTCATCTTCAGCACTCTCCGAGGACAGGTCCTGTGACAAGGTCCTGCATCGAACTGATCATGTGATATATGGCCGGTCCACTTCCGGCGCTGCCAAGTCTGCCTGCGATGGGCTGTCGGTAATGACATCCCTTCTCGCTTTGGCAGTGGTCAGAAGCTCTCACCGCATGGTGTGGGCTGTAGCATCCTGCCGCTGCCCAGCGGCTCGCATCCTGCCGGCCAGCAGCGGTAATGAGGGAATCGTGCTGTACTGCGGCAGCTGGCTGGGACTCCTGCTGATTGGTGTCAACGGTGGCATCCTGCCGCTGCCCAACGGCAGCAGTGGGTCATCCTGTCGAACCACAGGGTGGTGGCTGAGCCCTGCTGCATGGCAGCTACGGGCGGGGGCTCTCGCTGAATAACGTCGACAGCCACCGCCTGCTGCTGCAGTGGTTCTTGCTGTAGAGTGGTATGTGTTGCCCCCTCCCTTTGCTGAGTGGCTGCGACAGCGGTGTATGAGCATCCCGCGCGCACGGTTGTGGTGTTTTCGTCATTCCATCCAGCAGCAGTCATCGTGCTTCGTGCCACAAGGTGTGCGACTGCTGATTTCTGTACCTGGTATGCTTCCGTCTCAAACGGCGTAGCCAGGATGACGAAGTCCATCGTCCCATTGACATGCCAGCGGCATGGCAGGTCATTTGGGAGGTGATACCTGGAGCAGAGGGAGATGATCCACTTATCGAGTGCCGGTATGGGGCACTGGAGACTCGCAAGATCTCGTCTGCTGGCAGCAACTTAGAGAGTTGTCCCCTAACCGCGCCGCACTTTCCGTCAGGCCGAGCGGCCAGCCGTGCGTGAGAATTTGCAGCGGTTGTGGTATGACATAGTAGGGGCCCTCCCTGGCAACCCACCAGACCGGTGTGTGGCCAGCCACGGCGGTACACAGTTGACTGCGTGTGTCCAGGAGGTTGATAAGCTGGTGCCGTTGCTGCAGCGGGATGGCGAGGTCATATGTTAAAGATAGCCCCGCCGCACAGATGGATATACGCTCCCCGCCAGCTGTACCTGGCATCTGCCGGCGGTGGGCAATTGCTGACTGCAGGAGCGGTAGGAGTGCTTGGTAGAGTGATTTCTGCAATGGCCGGGTATGGCCCTCCAGTTCTGCCCTAGACCGGTCTCTGATTATGGTGGTAAACGAGACCACCAAAAGGTTGGCTCTGAGGGCCGCTTGCTGCAGTTGTTGTGTGCAAGCGACCTCCAAAGCTGGGGGCTGCGGGCGACCGCGCGTCTGACGACGGGATGACGTTGTCGCACTCATGTTGCGATCCCAGTAGCGTCCGCGCACGAGGTAGGGTTCCGCAAATCGCCGAAGAAGGATCTAAGAATTCCTTATGTTGAGGTAATTATGATAACGGCAACTGATTCAATTGGATTGAAATGTCAGTTCCGATACCGGATCCCGCGTCGCGTTTTGGCAACGTGAGGCGGCATGCCGGAGCGGTAATAATGACGTTGTTGCTAAACGGAGGCTAAACGAGTTGTTGCTAAAAGTTGCTAAACGGAGTATGCTAGTAGCTACTTGGAAGCGGGGATTCCTATCTTGCCTACCGATGAAAAGACACGCGACGTCGTCATCCGCAAATCAACAACACGAGACCACATGGTCCCCCTGGTACCGTGGTACGGCATTAGGAGGTGGACAGATCGCAAAAATGTTTTAACATTTCCTAAGGAGGCTAGACTCCTACCTTCAACATCTACATGAAAATTATGCTATCCCTGCACGACGGACAAGATGGCCAGACCGTCAGTCTGCTACTTCCGGTCTCCGGCCCTCTCCTGTACGGCTGTATTATCATCGTACCCAGTCGTGTTCTCCGCTATGATGACCTGCTTCTTTTGCTTCTTCTCCAAGGACATGTTATTTGCTCTCCACCGGCTGCCATCAGCTTCCATCCTAGTAAGAGCCCACCTTCGCCCTCCGCCAATCAGGAACGCAGCCACGCCATCCAGGGGTCCCTCGGTGCCCCGCCAACAGTCGCCGACAATCGCCCACCACCGCTTTCCTCCCTCTGTGTCCACTCCGTGTTTGGATAATGATTATCAGATTTGTTGCATCATTACTAGGGTTGGAAGTCATCTAAACCTAAACTTCTAAACTTAGATGAGAAACTTTAGAAACTAAACTGAGATATTACATGGAATTTTTTGGCGCCTTAGTTGTACGGCAGCTCCGAAACCTGAGGAGCGACCTTAGGTAGTCCTGAGAAACTTTAGAACAAGCTGTCTGAGGACTCATCCAATAGTTAGAGCATGCCGCCGTACAGGGACATCTATGCCAACAGCAAGAAGTACGCCACCCTCATGCAGCCAGTCAGCGACGCCATTCACCAGTTCGAGGGCGACAGGCCGTCCATTGGACAGGTTCTGAAGGTGCAGCGCGCTCTGGACGCGCACTTCGCGGAGTTTGACAAGCAAAACCCCGACATGATGGTGAAGCCGCGGGGCAACAAGGAGGCTGTGGGTGTGCAGAGCGTGTACGAGCAGCGGCGTGGGAGCACTCTGTCCAACGCGCTTGTCCCGCTCGCCCACGCCCTCGACCCCATCAACTTCGTTCAGCTGAATGGCGGGGACAACTGGTTTCCGCCGTTCCACGAGCTCAGCAAGGAGGAGCGGAAGGACGCCCGTAAGCTGGCGGCTGAGGTGTATGCGGGCAACGGTGAGGGTGCAACGGAAGAGGACCGGCGGGCGGACAAGGTGTGTTTGCAGCACTGGCGTGTTGTTCTTGGTGAGCGCCATCAATCCTATCTAGCTGCTGACAGCACGTGAGATTGCATCGTGTTTTAAACAGGCTGTTGTGTTTCACCTCCTTCTCCAACGCCTGCTGTGTTTCAGGAGATGCTTTCTGAGTGGGGCACGCTCGCCCTAATGGGCGTCCCCGACGACTGCAAGGAGCACATGGAGGTGCTGACCGCGCGCAAGACTGTGGAGAGCAAGGCCGGCAATTCCACCACAGTGTCAGTGCAGATCGCGGGCATTGAAGCGCGGCTAATGTTCTGGTCGCAGCACATGTCCGTGCAGTACCCAGCACTGGCGAACGTGGCGGACCGTGTACTGCGCATGCACACGACCACCTGCGCTGCTGAGCGCAACTGGTCGCTGTGGGGCAACATTTTCAGCAAGGCTCGCAACCGCCTGGCGCAGGAGCGGGCGGAGAAGCTCATCTACATTCGCCAGAACGACGACTCCAACAAGGGCAAGGGCAGCCGCCTGTCGGACGAGGAGGTGGTGATGACTCTGCTGGCTGCAGAGGATGAGAAGAGCGCGCGTGTGTAATGGGCGGCGGGGTACACCGACTGGCACGTGGTGCCTGGTGTCGTGGTGTGCAGTTCAGCAGTTTGCCAATCGCTGTGTTCTTTGGAGCGTTTAGGGGCTTGCTACTTGCTATGTAATGCTCGTTTCCATGGGTGTGCAGTGGCTTGCAGGCGGTGGTGTCCCGTGGGTCCCTTGCCCCGTGTGCCAACTGAGCACCTTTCGCTGCGCACACTCAACGCAGCGCAAAACTATTGAATTATCGTTAATAAGCAGCAAATGGGGATTCTAATTCCTAAGTTTCAGCCTAAACGACCCTTCCACCAGAAAGTAGCCGAAACCTTAGTTGAGATTTCTAAACTTCTCAACTAAACCTAATTAGTTTCTAAGGAAGTTTAGTTGAGATAAAATTTCCATCTAAGGAAGTTAAAAACCCTAATCATTACGGCTAATGTAAACGCTTATTTTGCTGGCTGCTTAAGGAACAGTGGCTTTCTTATTGATCTAGCACTGAACCCTTGGTGGTGTTGCTGAAGGCCGTTAGCACAACGGAAAAGACCAGCCATGCCGTACACGTGCTCATCCAGCTAAGCAAGGGAGGCACGGAGAAGGGAGGAACTGGAGGGCCTGAGCCGCCACACCACGAGGGTCGCGACGCCGCTACAGAAATCGAGCGCAAAACGTTCACACCCACTCTCACACTGGTGCCTGAAGGCCAGCTGCTCGCCTACCACAAGCAATGCACACCTCCCGAGGGCGGCCTCCACTACCTCACCGGTCCCGCACCGTACCCGCGGGAAAACCTGGTCCGTACGGCAGACTCTTCATGGGGCCTGTTGTTTTGTTGTTCTCGATGTTGTTGCTGTTGTTTTGCGCATGTTGAACAGCAAAAATCGGGGTGACTGCAGGGATGCTGCGCCCTATATGAGCTAGAACAAAGCTGACACATTGCTTGTGATAGATTATTACCCTAATCCAGGCGGAGCATGGTGTCAGGTTATTAAAAAATGCTGAGGGTAGCTGGGACCTAAGGAGCTTGGGCGAGCGCGGAGGCCATTCACCTTTTCTGTCTTTGTTGATACAGTCTGTCGGCGCGTACCGGCATGGCCTGGGCCCGCCGGAGGGTTACAATTATGGACCCTTTGGGGCTGGCAGTTGATTCCGTGCAGCCACTTTGCCGTGGAATATTGAATCAGACACATGGATTGACCGAAGAGTATTATAGCAGCTCATGGAAAAACTCGCGATTTGTACTGCAGCGGGAGATTGCGGGGAGCCATGTGCAAAACTGACGGGAAAATCTTGGTTTAGACAGCGGTTTAGAGTCCAGCAAGTGTCAATTGGTTGCTTACCTTTGTTGATCTGAAACGTGAGAATGTGTCGAGTAGTGCCGGCTCGTACAACTATCTCCCTTGAAGGCGGAATGGCGCTTGTTTGTTTGCACATCTATAATTTAATCATTCTGCAAAGTAATTTTTATTAGTACCTGTTTATCAAGGGAATATGCAGAAAAATGATGCCGACTTAAGAACAGTCCTGAAAGTAGGACTATATTGTAAGCCCACAATGGCCCACTAAATGTTACAGAAATTTGGTTACCTTAAAGCACATATAATAAGAATGCTGAAGCCAAAATTATGGGTAGACGGCGACGAAAGTTCTGGCAACACACGTCGGCGGAAGGAGCCTACAATAGGAAATGTTGGTTCCAATAACCCAGAGCGCCCAAGTAAAACAATGGCTCAACCATGTCAAGACAGTGCGGCGGCCTTCGACCGTATCGAGAAGAGCATTTGGGACCTGGCAAACAGCGCTGACAAAGAGCAACGTTCGCAACGCTCAATAGTCCGATGGACTTGGTCTCGTATTAAGCAAGACGCTTGGGTAAGGAACCGCTTTTGTAATCTTCGGTCTCAGCCCGTTCGTATCCCATTGTCGCCCTGAAGGCGACTTTTACCAACTATTACGAAGCCAGTCATGTAACCAGAAAGATACACAGAACTATTTCTATCCAGCCACTTAACCAAGAAGAAACGCATACTGGGAATCAACGCTTCGCCGCGAAATCAATCTGACCATCGTTTCCTACCTACCTGCTATCACAAGATGAATCTAACCGCAAGTTTAACAAGCATGCCTAGTGGATATCTATTACACGGTGCACATAACGAGCTGCCGATTAAGCAAGGCATTGCCGTGCGTGCTCGCTCCCCGTTACGGAGTCTCAACGCAACCACACATCGGTGCGTCCACCACGAACTGGGTAGTGCTGCGCAGTTAGGGTTGGGTGTGACCCATGAGAGGGGGTGAGAGATGGGCAGTTCATTCAAGCTCATTACGATAGCTAAATGCTAAGCCTGATTACTGGCGGTTAGTCTGAGAGACTGTGGGCCATCGTGACCTCGACAGGACTGTACCCATCAAATGACGGGATTACAAAGTCAAACGGTGATAAGTCGAAGGCTCATTCCAAAAAATATTCTGCACTTCCAAACTGGCGCATGTTCTTTTGTCTAAGTCTTCACGGCCAGGCCAGTCTTTCAGAACATAGCTCCTTACCCGCTTCACAGCAGGCAACTGCATCCACAGGTGCCCTGTACTTGGTGACGAGTGTGTGTGTGTGTGTGTGTGTGTGTGTGTGTGTGTGTGTGTGTGTGTGTGTGTGTGTGTGTGTGTGTGTGTGTGTGTGTGTGTGTGTGTGTGTGTGTGTGTGTGTGTGTGTGTGTGTGTGTGTGTGTGTGTGTGTGTGTGTGTGTGTGTGTGTGTGTGTGTGTGTGTGTGTGTGTGTGTGTGTGTGTGTGTGTGTGTGTGTGTGTGTGTGCTTGCTGGTATGTTGCATTGTGTGATGGTTGACGAGGCTTGAAGAAGAGGGTTTTGCACCAGCACCAATAAGGTTATCGTTTCCTAGCATGTGGATGTTACAGAAAGGTGTGTGGTGTGGGTTGGTGTGAGTGGGTAGTATGAAATGTTCCTCTTCAGTTTGGCAACAAGTATCTGACGCTTTTCGAGGGCGAGGAGTTGCTTGTATGAGTACGGCATCCAAGTCCGCATGTACTTCCCGCCACCGGACCTGCAGCCGGGTACCGGCCCCACCCGGCAGCCGCCTAATCCGGCTCCCTCCCACGGCCCCAGTTGAATAAACCGATAGAACTAATGCTGTATCTTCGCCACTTCCCACCCTCCATACCCCCTTTTTGCAGAATCTCGTGTTCACCGTGCGGAGCTATCCGCTGGTTGCTTTGGTACCTCTGCTACTCTGGATGCTCATGATCGGCGGCGGCACCTATGTGGTAGTGGGAGCGGCCAACAGGGAGTCCGCACACCGTCGAGA